TTTATAATTTCACTGCTCATAAAAGTGAGGTGCAGATTAATATGAGCCCTATGCATTTCCTTTCTGCTACGACATGATGCTTGTGCCCTTTAACACATTGACGACAACGCGGGGGATATATATCCCGCGCATTGCAGGCCATGTCGGACCGTGCGGGATATATATCCCCCGCACCCATTACACTCATTTTTTTCGCGCACGCCTGATTCTTTTAGAAGTTTCTTGTATTCATTCCATGGAAGAGACCTTGACGTAGCTACAAACATAGTGGCCCATAGAATGGTCACGTATGCTTTAATTTAGAGGAGGATTTCTGAACCATACGAAATCTTCAGTTTAAATTTTTCGTTTACTTTTTCTTTTTATGAATGTGAAGATTTAAATAGTAGTAGAAGTAGATACGGAACCTTAGGGATGACAATATGTGTGTTTTGATTGGAAATAATCAACGTAAAATTGCTTTTGAGGTCCATTGCAGCTAGTTCTGAAAAATTTCGCTTTTTCATTGTTATTCCATGTCTTTCGATCGAAATTCCACACTGTACCCCTGGGTAGGTTGTGCTCATTACAATTTACTGATCTGGTTTTGTATTGATCATTATTTATGTATTTATCACTCAAAATCTGCTTGAACGACCTGAGGCGGCCGCGCCCGCAAAATCGCCCCGGTCCCACGTGGCCAAAACTCGCGTTGTCGTCAACGTGTTAACAGGTTTGCATCCATCAGTGCTAGTCCAAAGAAATTAGTGACAAGTTCTTTTAGCGGGAACGTTAGTATAAGCAGAGGGAACATCAACGTAGATCTCCAACAAAAACGATAAATCAGAAGAACCGGTTTCATGGGGGATCATTTTGCTTAGGATCTGTGTTTCTCTTTGACACAAGTCTGGAAGGACATGTGCACATGAAAACAAAGCCCTGGAGGGACATGTGCACGTGAAAACAAAGCCGCAAGGAGTTCAGTAACACCCCTCCTTTTATCACGGTCTGGCACGAAAAGAGAATAGTGTTGTTCTCGAAGACTAACGCATTAAAAATTAGAAGAATTTACCAGAATTTCGGGCATCGAATGCATGAGGCGCTGTTTGATAGTATGCCGGGCAAGAGGTCCTCCGAGCAGGACGCCTTTGATGATTTCGCTCTTGAACTTTGCGCAGGTCTTGATCCTGTCCATCAAGTAAGCAAATCGCCAGGTTTTGCTTTTGCACAGGCTATTATGTTGATTTTTTTTTGCAGTTTTCTGCAATCACAGATCTTGTGAGCTTCACTGTGAGACTCGGTGGTGATCGTCCCACACATTCACAAGAGGAAACACTAGATCAAGCAGTTTTCGACAGGTTTTTGCTTGCTTTCTTTCTCATTACCGAGTATCGTTGAAACTGAAATATGCTGCAGAGAAAATCAGTAAAGAAGATGAAGAAAAAATGAGCAAGCGATGGAATAAATAATGTTAATGCCATTTTGTTTCCCTGACAAAGTGGCCTTAGTTACATAGTCTGCTCTATGTGTCTGGCCTCTTGATTCCTCTATCTGGATAGTACTGGCAGGAAATTATTATAAATTGAAATGAATATGTAAATTAAAAATAGAAAACTGAGTAGAGAATACAGATGCTATTTAATTATAATTTCGCTTTAGCAGCGTTCCGTGTTTTCTGACAAGTCTTCAGCGTTTTGCTCGTTTGGGAAAGATGAAGAACACGGCTTGTTAGAAAAACTCGGATCGAATCGTCACGTTGGTCTTTAAGCACCACCAAGTGAATAACTTAGAATGCACAATGTCACCCATGCATATTCTCCAAATGAGACTTACTATGATGCCGCCTTCCTTAACCCACGTCCCTTTCACCTGTATAGGCGGCTTGCAGTGAGAGACCGTTCGTCTCTAAAAATATGAATAATGATATTGAAAACTATGAAACCGTTCTATTTTGTGACTTTATTTTATCCCTAAAAATTTGGATTTCTTAACACACTAAGTTTTGGTCTTGACACCTTAAGGTTGTTAAGTTTCGAAGGAGGATAAAACGATAACGGTGGAGGTCGAATAAGGGGAAATATACCAAGTCGAGGTTATCAAGCAGATCGAAAAGGGGGCACTGTGAGAGTCGCATCAATGGGGAAGTCCGCGAGGGAAAAGGGTTTCCGTTTCTACAATTTTGAGCCGTTTCTCGTTGTTTTTTCTTCATCTCTGCACCACTGACCGCCTCTACCTTGATTTCTGATGAGCTGCCTTTCATCGTAAACTTCGCCTGGGATGAGAATATCCTAAAATCTACTCTAATGCTTGAGCTTCACGATAGGTGAATCTTTTTGCCGAAAACCTTCGATGATTGCAGAACCAAGTATTCGTTGCAAAAGCTTCGACACTTCCGTTTCATGGTGATGGGACTAGTTGTCAGGGCTCTCAGCAATCGGAGATTATTTGAGAAGGTGATTTTCACTTCAGTTACTTTTTTGTGTGCGTGATTTTTTTTCTTCAAAAAATTGACGTTAAATGAAATCCTGACATCTGACAGATATTCTCATCTTGGTCATGCCTCGTCCATTAAATGAGTGTGACAATGACGTGTGACATTATAGCTTGGAGAAATGGACGACGGCTTTTTGTACCACGCAATGCTTCCAGTTGGTAGATGTTTGATGATGTCATCAGTGGAATTGGATGAGTTCATCGCCGGTGAACGGAGTCTAGCCGAAGAAACTGAAGATCAGCAAACCCTCCGTTACTGGATAGCTTTATCGGGAAGAGCTGAAACGGTGTCCGAAAAAGTGAGTCAAACTACATTTGTAGACTTCACGTAACTTGTTTTCAGTGTCCGATCCTTTCTTTCACCTAAGCGTTTCAGAGATATTTGATTTCTGTCTTTTATTTCTAGTTCAAAAGTTTGATGGGTAGTGTGTCAAATTCTGTTTAAAAAATGAACAGTTGTTGTTAGTGATTTTGTTAATTCGAAAACTTCTAAGGTTTTGTGTTCTTTATTGCAGTTGCGTCATCTCTTGCCAGGCGAAGTGGCTGCAACGGTTATTACCGATATTCTGGAGGACGATAATGCCGACTCAAGGATGCGTGAGAAAGTGAATTCTGCATGCTGTCCTTCTTTTTTTCATCAAGCGGTAAAATTGAGGCAGCTCACGTACATTTTTTCTATTTAGGCTCTTCAACTGGCGAATTCTAAATTGATCCATGATGGGTACTTTTCTGTTGAAGGTGGCATTAGTGTACAGCTCCTCGAAAGGATGGCAGCTGTTCTCAACAAGTGGATCACAAAGGACCGAAGAGGTCACGAACAAGTGAGTCAGAAGTTTTTGATGTCACCTTTTTGAAAGTGACATTATGATCATGGTATGTGAGCTGCTGATGAGGGGCTGTAAAAGTTGTGCAAGCTTTGCTCCTAATAAAATGCTCGAATAAACATGATTACTGTTTCATTACAGGATGTTCTGTGCCAGAATGCAGCGTTCTCTCTTAAATTGGTGGCGAAACGTCTCTGTAACCGTTCTAACACATCAGTGCTTTGCGACACCATGTCAAAGTGTATTGAAATTGTTAGTGTTATATTTCTCAGGTTTGTATTGGCTACTGCCTCGTTTTTATTTTCATTCAGGCTTCTGAATACCAAACAGTCGATGAGTGTCTGATCGGCAACATCTTACTCCTTTCTGGAGAACTGATAAGGTGCGCATCATTTTTTGGTTGGAAGTAGAACATTGCTGAATCGCTTATGAAAATGCCTTTCCTGCGCAGTCGTGGGGAAAATCTACGAGAACGACAACAGAAAAGAAAGATTTGTATGATTTCGTTCTTGTTCTCTCGTAAGATTACACCGTTTGCAAGGAAGGCAAGAGTGACGATAAAATTCTGCATACCCATGGAAAATCGTTCAATGGGAACAACCCCCCCGCTGGGGGGGGGGGGCGAACCGATTGTCAAATATTCAAGCGATAAACTTAATTAAAATCATTTTCCTCGCATGAGGAACATCTTTCATGTAAAACCGATACTAGTTGGTGAGTGTGTCTCCCATTATTTATTACGACCTCTTTCTCCATCTCTCTTGGGGTGCTGGCTATGCCTACATGATAATGATAATGTCCCTTCACTTAATCTTCCATGGAATTAATCTTAAAAGTGCTTTTACAACATACAGTAGCAGTGATCCTCTTCCATATTTTACAGAATTTTTAACGAAATGATTTCGTGGAATGCTTTCCATCACCCAATCTGTTACCTTAATGTATGGTGTGTCATCTAGTCTTCTTCACTTTTGGATTCTAAAGCATCAAGTTTCTCATATGGAAGAAAAAGCTCAAAACTTTGAGGTAGAGAAAAATGTACTGCACGAAAAACCATGTCGGTAAACACTTTTGACCCTAATAGTATCATATTTATTCAACTGTTGGAGCTGTCGTTGTGCTCGGGTAGCATGCTTCAAAATATCGTGCCCTCGCCCTTTGAATCTAAAGTGCATTGAATATGTGCCTGAAATCTTGTTGTGTTGCAGTGGATCCTTTACTTTTGCATGAACTGGTGGTGGTTGATTTGATATATCGATAATGGGCCCAGTTTAATTTTCGTGTCGTTTTTGCAGATCTCTGAACATGAAGTCTACTATGGTGTCGGCCGTTCCATTGCTCAAAACGTGTCTCAGCATATTGAGAAATTGTATTTCTGACGACAAGGTAAGGTAGCTGCTTAGAGTTTTCTTTTTTCGGATTCCGCTTATTTTTTGAACGTTTTTGCATTGTTAAAAACAGTACGCACGATGAAGTGGGTGTGCATCATTGAAGAAGTGAGTGGAAGCGGGAAGGAATGAATGGGAGCAGGGACTCACCGTATCGCGTTTACGTTGCGAAATGTGCGCTAGTCGCAAGGTAGTATAGATCTAATCTTCATTTTACTTTGAAATTGCTCCGCCTTCAAGTGTGGTTAATCTCGATATGGTTTCGTTTTTTTTTAAGTTTTGAAGTCGCATTTTTTATAAAACAGTCGTATTTTACAATGTTGTCAATGTAATCCTCTATCGGAAATCACCACTCAAACCGCCATTTTGAGTTGAAAACTTGTCAAAAAACCAGCAATCAAAGAGAGAATAAAAGTGAGAAGCTTCGGATGATAGAGCAGAACGTATTTCATGAGAAGCAAAAGAAGAAAATGGGTGAAGTGAGCTATATAAGCTTGAACGGCCTTGAATTTGAGCGGGTGGCATGATTGGATGTTGCAGAAGGGAAGGAAGGGTGAGTGGCTTCTATTAAGGGTGACGGGGGGAGATCCCGTCACCCTTAATAGAAGCCACTCACCCTTCCTTCCCTTCCGCAGTCCCGGGATCAAATCCTGGGTCGTGCGTCATCCGGGCCAACCAAGCCTTCCATCCCTCAGGGTCGGTTAATTGGTACCAGACTTATTTGACTGGGAGGATAAAAACACTGACTTGTACATCGGCTGGCCCCGCAAGTCATTGTATAGGCCACATCGCATTCAAACGCCACTACGAATGTACAAATGGAAAGTAGAATGCGTGCCGCATCCCAAAAAGGGATTGATCAACGGCAAATGCTTTATCCTTTATCCTTTATCCTTTATCCTTTTCAACAAGAGCTAGATCATAGCGTCATCATTGTTATTCTTGTACCAGGGAGGTACCGGGAAATGAAGGTTTAGCGGATTCTAGGTCGTTTTCCTTCTGGGTTTTTTGTTCTGCTGTACGGCACTACTTATCACTCCTTTTTTCATTTCTTACGACGACTTATACCAACTGCTTTCAAGATCACTCCAATGTCATTCAGGCAGCTTCTATGCTGCGCTTTGTGAGTCTACACTCGCATTTCGCGCAACCCGTATCCGCGCACCACACATCGCACCGCAGACCCTGGTTGACACTCGCAGGGTGC